ACCGGAATCTGAAGGATACTGGCGGAAGGGAGTGGTCGAATGCCGGAAGGGAGAGAGGAGCCATGAAGTCAAGGTTAGGGGCAATATCATTTGAATGAGTCGTGCGCCACTGAGAACAGCGCGTCATGGGTGGACACCACAAAGAGAGAAGCAGCAACAAAAACCACAGCGGAGTACTGCTATCCAAGCCCAAGAGATTAAACGCCCACAAAATGGAAGGCAATACGGAATACTCTGGAACGCCATTCTAAAATAACGAAAAGAAAAGGATATGATGGGGGCTGGAAATGCTGGTGACTGGAAATGCGTTGGTACCGATAAGCAGAGCGTTAATCGAACGCCACCGGAAATCTCGCGCAGTAACAGACAGGTGTAGTCCATCCCGATAGAGCGTGAGCATGTCATCGGAAGTAGATTGGTCAGCCAAGCGGTAAATGTTTGGCGCACATCCGCGTCGAGCTCTGCAAGCATAGTCAGTAATCGTCCGCTGAATGTGTTAGGGACCAATCAGGCGCCAGCAGGTTCAAAAGTACAGGCGAAGAAGCGCATACTCGTGAGGAGCTTATTGCTTCGCCCTTGAGCCAAGCTTTATGTTATTGGACCAAGGGAACAAGCGGGAGGCCTGATGGAGGAGTGCCCAATCGATCCAGTCATACAATCCATCAAGAAAGTCAAAGTAATTTTAGACAGAATGAAGGTGGCAAGCTTGAGTAAACCAAGGAAAATAGAGCCAGCGACAGAATGCAAGTAACAAAGAGGAGCCAGTGAAACGGACTGTTGCAAATAGTGTATATACTTTAGAAATATGCGACCGTGTTCTCAATAAACGACTTCGAGATCGCGGCCCAGCGTAATTGCTTCCCGGAAAGTTACAAGACAGCAAGGTATAAGCTGATAAGTCGTACATTCAGCGGCACCACAACCTGTTTCCGAAGGCATCATGACAATATTCCTGTTCAGGGCATTGTTGTTTGCCAGAAACGCTTTCCGTAGCCACTGTGGAAAAGTTACTGTCCTAACCGACAAGTGTGGTGCAATGGTTGGGATGGGTCAGGAAGTTGCCCCAAGTCTCTGAGTTGGTGTTAGACTTGTATGCACGCCATGTTGCATAACTTTTTGCCGTGCATTTGCAAAGTTTGCTTCTTAGAAATGACAGCGCATTTGCGGAATGAAGTGTTATGTTCTCTGATGCTTTTTTGACCATATCACGTAGTCTTCCAACGAAATTTGCTCAAATGTCAAGGGGACCGTTATCTGAGGACTCCCAAGCAGATGTCTTGTCCAATTCTCTCGGAAACTAGTACCGTGTGATTGCATGTGTTGATTGCGAGTGCTCAGGTATATATTCTGCATAGCAAAGATAATTTAATATCGTTACTATATGGTTGCTTGGACCTCATGAACACTCGATCAATAACGTGTCAATCATGAGCTCCTCATTTGTAAGCACAAATACTGCTTGAAGCCCATGATGGTTGGTAGTTTTTTTCGTGTTCCTGACCCTGACGCCAAAGCCACATCGTTCACACCGCACTTGCGTGATTACAAACCGTCTTCTCCAGCTCGCCGGTCGTGTGCGTCAGAGGGCTCGTGAAGCAGCTCATACAAGGGTTTGATAGAGAATTATCGCGGTTGAGCTTCTGAATCGCCCCATGGTAAACCTGCGGAGAGACTGAAAACGGTTCGCTGCGGAGAACCTAACTTACCAGACAGCTTCTGCACGCAATGTTGGACTTGAACGAGTGAGAGGTTGTTCGAAAGCCGTTGAAATGCTCTATCTAGTAAGATCAAACAATGGTTCCGATGGTTGGATTTCCGCAAGTTTTGGCTCTTGGATATTGACGAAATATTTTCCGGAATTTAGAATTCGGGATGAACGTAAGGTGTATGGTATTGTACGCTAGAAATTGGTATCATGAGGTAGAGCTTGTAAAAGTAAGAAGTATAAGTATAAATCCAGTGGTGTGCGACAAAATGTGTCTGAGAAACAGCGAAAAAATTAAGTGTATAAATGCGCTACTAGCATGCACATCTCCTTCACTGTCGTGGCTGCGCCGAAGCGACTGATGTCACTACGCAAGTACAGTTCACTTCGTTTTGATGACCTACGACCCAAGTCACCAAAGCTAGCTGCCACACGCTTAGCTAGACCGTTATTTAAGCTTTTCTGGCGCTGTCTCAACGAGATGCAGGTTCCCACTATGTAGAAGTGTGGAATAGGAACCCACATATACAAGCGAGACACTCGTGCAGTGCCCGCAAACTACCGCCCCGTTACACTTCCTCCTGCGCTTGCGGCACTCATGGAATCTGTCGTCGCGGAAGAACTCATTGAATATTTATAAAGGTGCAATATCATTGTGAAGGAGCAGCATAGATTCCACCACAACCGTCCATGTGTGATGAACCTTTGTTAGCCCGTGCAAGCTGGACGGTATCCGTCGATGGTGGGTAAAGAGTCGACGCCGCCTATCTCTATTTTCCTAAAGCCTTTGAAAGGTTAGAGTCTACATATCTGGATTCTGGACAACCGCAATCCCCTTTACAAACTTCGGAGCTACAGGATCAATTACACCGTCCTGAGCTGGATTCTTTCAATACTTCTCAAACGTTGGAGTTCGTAGCACTCTGTCCGATCCGTTATAGATTCAATGTGACATCCCCTAAGGCTCGATCTAAAGACTAGGTCTATTCCTAATGTACATAAATGACATCGCGGGAGTGCTGACGTCTTAATTTACCCTATGGGGACGATTTCAAGATTTGGAAGGCAATAAAACGAGTATACGACCATATAGCACTGCAAGGCTATCACAACCAGACTAGCAAGTGGTCGGCTCAGAAAACGCGTGCAAAATAGGAAGCTTGCGCCACCAGTACATCTATGAATGTCGACTGGAAGAACACGTCTCACAGAGCATTGCTCTTGAAACTGATTGTGTGTTACTCGTTCAGGAATATCCCAGGTCTTCTGCGTGGCGATCTCATATTTGTGCTGCAGATCCCCAAGGATCCTAAACGCCTCTGCTGACCCTGATTAAACCTCAGCCATAATACCTAACTGGGAGGCTATTATTTGCAGTTGACGACCCAGTATAGCTGGTTTGCATGCCACCGAAATGTTTTCTAACTTCGTGTATCCCAGCCGTGGGACTTACTTCCGCTCGCATGTTAGCGACGTCCGAAACCGAACTTGATGCATTACACCACTCGCATTACATGCTTTAGCCTAAGTAGCTGGAACACGGAGTGAAGTAACCAAATTACGTATTCACATAAAATTTGCAGTAATTCAACTGTCACGCGTTACATTGTCTTGATAACCTCATTTTCAATCTCAATCTTTTCCTCCTAATACTGTTAAGCGTTTGTTTTTCATCCGCAATAAATACATTGTTCAGTTGTTCCATAATGTTTTGAAGTCGAACAGTAAATTCTGAATTTACACCGACTTTGTTAACAAAATCACCCACAGAAATAGGGGATTGATGAGCACCAGGTGAGCAAGTGCGTAGGTCATTCTGTGCCTAAGTACTATGCACTGGAATACTCAGGTGACTTCTGATCGTCATTCAGAATTCTGACAATAAACGCAAGTTGCGGTTATGTTAGCTCCTATTGAGACAGTGGCGAACAATGTACTGTTTAACTCCAAAGATTCGTGGAATTATTCTGGCTGCCAATATTTGGCAAACATTTGGTCGTTTTGACCCAGCGCATCCGCCGTATCGTTGGATAACAGAGATATACCCTCAAAATATGTCTATCCCATGTTCAGCTTATATCAACTAAACGCGACAAAAAAGTAAACGTAAGGCAAAATCAGCCATCTAGAAACACGTGGATTGTTTCTAACGCTTGGCTGTCTCGTGAGCAGCTGGATTGTAGTTATAACAGTTTTAAGGTATTCGTCCCAGTAGTCCAGAAGCTACATAGCACAACCTAATCCGGAAAAACACCAGACGCGTTTCACTCTATTGGGGCTCGTCAGTGGTGCGCATTCCCTCGGTCATCTACTTCGGATCGAACGCATGAGCACTAAAGGCAGATGTCAACTAGCCAGCTGTTTAAGATGGCGGTATCCCAGTTAGTGGACGAAGTATGTAGCTCAGCCAACGTCCTCATGACCCAGTGGCTTAAACTGCAGGGCTAGTTGCCATCTGCCTCTAGGGGTCATATGTTTGATCCCCAGTAGAGGACCGAGGGAATGCGCACCACCGACGAGCCCCAACAGGGCGAAACGCGTTTGGTGCTTTGCCGGACTAGCTGTGCTATGTAGTTTGTGAACTACTGGGATGAATACCAAACAAAAATTACATCTAAAATCCTGTTACTCACGGGTAATATAAAATAAATAGCCTCTCCTAGTTTCAAGCGTTATGGATATAGCGCCTAGGCAGAGATCATCACCTTGTAGGCTAGCAACCGTCAGTGACAGTGGAAGATATGTGGTGCTATATCCCAGTTAGCTAGAAAATTATGTAGCTCAGCCAACGTCCCCCATGGCCCAGGAGTTTAAGCTGCTGGCTAGTTGGCATATGCCTCTAGCGCTCATAGGTTCGATCTCCAGTAGGAGACCGAGGGAATGCACACCACTTACGAGTAATGCAAAATAAATAGAATTCTAGTTTCAGTTGCTATGGATATTGCGTCTAGCGAGAGGATGTCATCTCCTGGCTGTATCGGCTGCCGGAAAAGAGGGGAAACTGAGTGAAACCTTAATGGGTTAATATAAGGTAATCTATGGGCCACCTACAAAAAGAAAAAAATTTGTGATTTTGCATAAACAACTAAGACACCGTTATGGAGTTCAATTTTCGGTAATGTTTGTGCAAAAGTATGCTCGCACTTTTCCTTACCATGCTAGTACTGTACTGAAACTACTATTAAGCAACACGTGCACTATTTTCACTAAGATCAACATCAGGATGGCAGTGCATTTAGAATGCAACTTTGAGTCAAACATGAGTAATTACGCTATTACACTCTTGAAGACTAACCGTAAGTTAAGGTATTGAAGATTTGGCACTGATGCGTATGTGAAACCATCCAGCTCACGCATTCCATTTGCCCTCAGACTGAGTACTGACAATTGCGGCAGTTGTCCCAGAGCAGATCCGTCTTCGTCTATGACGAAATCGAACTCAGTAATGTTGTCACTAGAGAATGCAGGTTTAGGATTCGATCCAAAATCGTCTTCTTCGGATTTTGCGTGCATGACTCCTGGTGAACCTTGTTTATTACTTTCCGCCTGGACTACTTCGTCGGTGTTATGGCTTATGTCTTCCATTGTATCAGCCTCCGTTGACATCGGAATGGTTCGCTTGTAAACTGCAAGCGTAGTCAAAGCATTGTGGTCCAGAAATAATGCTCGCAAGTTAGATAGCTCAATCTTCAGTGCATTGGGTGCTGACACATCATCTGATGATGCTGTGTGCAGAAGGTAAAGTCTGTTATGTGCAAGCTCCAATGTATGTAACTGCGGTAGGGCGTGGTCCGTTAGAAAGGGCTCACCAGTATCGGGATCGTAGAGTCGAGTAATCCGGTTAACTAGTGAATGAGAGTGATAGATGAATAGTCGTCTTAGAAATTGTAAGCATGAAAATTTAAAATATATCCCCTCTTAATTAATCACATTAAGATGATACGCTGAATTCATGAAATCGCAATGTCTGGAACCACATCAAAGAGTGATGTTCAAGTCCATACCTCAGTGTGGCATTCGTTAGTTAGGTGTGTTATCAGATTGTTTTGAAGAACGCAAAATAGTTCCTTTGGGGTATCGATTTCAAGCTGTTTGTTGCAGCCTAAAAGTCCAGTTGATCGAGTTCTCTAACACTTACTAGGAGCTCGGTGTATGGCGAGGGGCTGTGGACTGAGGAAGGCCAGTGCCACCACAAACACTTGTTCCACGCAACGGCCACATGAAGAATTTTGTAAGCGCCACTGTAGCTGAAAAGGATGGCCAGTTTATTAACTCTGTCACATCAAGTAGAACGTTGGGACAAGCAAACTGAGTAGTGGATACTGGTTATGAGATCCGAACACAACAATTCCCATTGACTATGATCTTCAGAACGAGTTGTTGCTGCCTAGCCCAGATAATCGTCCGCCACTGTTGATGGACCGTGGAGTCTCATGGCGGCTGTCTTGGCTAACCTCTACGAAATAATCTGGGTAAATATGTTAGCATTCTCAAGCGTCATTTCCGTTCCCAAGAAAATCCATTTAGATTCTTGTGAAGCTAAACGCTGTGTCGTGTGATCTAAAGTGATTAGAAAATACAGATGTGTGTTCTGCTTGGCCATCTTGTTAAACTTCAGGCTAGGGAAAAGCTGGTTTGTCTTCCTCAAGCTAGCTGTCTGAAGCACATCATCTTTACATATAAGACGCTCTGACGGTGCTTCTTAACCTCAATGGGAACTAAGATTTGAATGTTAAGGTTGTGTACGGATCCACGGGAAACGCCCATTTTTCAAACAGCAGGTGTTTCAGGGGCAGCGAACCAATCCTTACTGAGTACTCTGCCTCTTTCCACTTGTCGTGGGTGGAAGGCTCTGCCTGACTACCGACTAAACAAGAGTATGTGGAAGCCATTTTATATTTTTGGATTGGATAAGCATGGTAAGTAACGGTGCTAAGTAGGTAGACGTCTTGTGCTACATCCCTTGACATGAACTAACCGCCTGCAGAAACAGGCCGGCTTGCCGTGGGTTCTTACCGTCGCCAAACAAACCGCTTAATTGGGATCTGGATAGAAGCACCATCTCAAATGGTTATATCATCGAAACAATGGAACCATAGTTTATGACGGGCACATGAGCACACGCTTAACGTGCCCGTAGGCTGATAATGGAAGGAATTACATACTCGAATAATACATACATGGAGTAAATAAATTACTCATCGTTAAATGGATAGAGTAATTGTAAAAAATAATAGGGTTGTGTGGGTGAAATGTTACCATACAAAACAGATCACCAACTTGTTATGGTTATTGCTCATAGTAAATAACAATTGGATTGCTCACCCATCTACACAAATTTACGTGCGTCATTCTGAGTTAGAATTCCAAAGAATTTTGTCAGACTAAATATAGAAGTTTCCGAGAATGTGACAAAATTGTAGGGAACACAATGTGATCTCTATCGTCACCATCATCAACATCATCATCATCATCATCATCATCATCATCATCATCATCATCATCATCATCATCAGCAGCAGCAGCAGCAGCAGCAGCAGCAGCAGCAGCAGCAGCAGCAGCAGTAGTAGTAGTAACAGCAGCAGCAATAAATGTTAGCTTAGGGTCAAAAAATTACTAAGCTACTCTACCGCGCTAAAAAATAAACAAGACATTATAAGGAATTCAAAAGCAGGTAATATTATATTAAGCGTGTCGAGAGAACTTAATTGGATGGGCACCTGAAGGGGAGGGGATGGACGCAGAAACTCACAACCCAAGCGCTACTGAGGCCGCTCTTTGTCATATCAGCAAGTGTGTCTAATCAATCGTGTTCATCGTCCTTAGGACCCCAGCCAGGCAGTCGGGATGCCCCAACCGACGCCAACTTCGAAGTGAGGGTTTTCATTTTTCTCGACCAAGTCCTCGCTTGGCCTCCCCTCCTCCCCTTCCAACCGCACCTCCGGCGCGCAAACAATGCACTTCGCGGTAGTCCGTGTGCTGGCATGCGCAACACGTGACCAAGCCATCAGAGCCTGGTGTGTGATATAATGGTACTAAGAGGTTCACTAGCTCTTCCTGCACCAAATACGCTATGCCGAACACGCTCACTGCTCACGCGGTGCTCCCACCAGACATGAGCTAATCTGTGAAAGCAAAGATAATCGAACGTGAATAGGCTCTAAGTTTGTAGATCTAATGGGACAGCTTCCACAACCGTATAGTAGCGCTGAACGGACGGCTGCATTGTATACTCTGACCTTCATGGCCAAAGTGATGTCGCGTTAGCGCTACCAGTGGTGGAGATTGGCAAAAGCACCACGAGCTATGCTATACGATTCGTGATATCATTTTAAATCCAACAGGCTTTCATATAGCTGCCAAGGTACATGAATTCATGAACGACTTCTAGCGGATCCCCACTAAGGATCAGCGCAGGGGTGGGTCCGTGCCAATATTGGAGAAAGACTTACATGTCGAGGGAGCAAAGCAGAGCAAATTACAATTGACAGCCAGTGCTAATCTGTTCGGTGATGCTTGGCTCGTCTGGGAGTTGTCACGGACCATGGCAATGTCATCCGCATACTCCTAGTCAAGAAGTCGCTCACCAATAACCAGCTCCACAGGTTCTAGATCGCGTCCATTGAACGCTGTTTCCATGTCTTCGTCAAATACGAAGTTAATGAGAAATGGTGACAGCAGGCAACCTTGTATCACACCGCTGGAAGTACTGAAGAGCGGCGACAGTTTACCACAAACTCGCACTCCGCCCGAAACTATGCTCGTACAGCGCTTCGATTATGTTGAGTAGTTTTCAGACACACCTTTCCCAGCAGACAGTCCATAAGAGCACATCAATTCGTCGAATCGAAGGCACTTTTGGAGTGGAGAAATACGAAAACGATGGGTCGCCAACAAACATGGCGGTGTTTCAAAAATTGACCCGAAATGAAGTGGTGGTCGATGCAACCTTGATTTCGAGGAAATCTAGCTTGCTCCTCGCGAATCTGACTTTCAAGAGTGCTAGTCAGTGTGTGGAGAACAACAGACGCAATCAATTTAGATGCAATTGTGATCAGGCTGATCACGCTATGATTACCGCTTTCCGAACGGGAGATTCCAATACAAACTGGAACTATGATGGAGTGGCTCCAATCTTTTGGGACAGTTTACTGATCCACCAGCTTCATGAATAAATTGTGCAGATCATCAAAATGAGCAGGTTCCGGAATTTGAGAAGGGCTAATATAATTCTATCTGCCCCTTGAAGCCCAATGCAATTTCTGCAGTCTTTTCTCATGTCCGACTTCGGCGCGTGATGGCGGATCCAGGGGTCGGTCCAGGGAGAATGGTAATGCTCGAAAAACAGGGATAACTCAGATCGGTCAAACTGCCTTGCAAAGTGCTCGGCGCAACACTCCAAGGGTTTTAACAAGCGGTGGATCGGCTGTCCATTCTCCTTGCGTATGAATCCGCTAAATTAAGTCTCCTTCTGCTCGTTTCTCGTATCAGACGGAATAAATTACGACGGTTACCTAAGGCAGCCGTTGTTTCCATTTCCGATGTACGGTGAGATCACCGGGCTTCGTGGTCTCTCTTCAGGCTAGCACGCAGTTTTTCTCTGGGAACTTTGCGAGTCTCATTGTATTCGCTTCCAACAGGAGTACACAGGCGAGCAACCATAGGTTTCAGAGACTGTAGAGACCCTATGTCCAGGTTCGAAAGTTACTTCGTTACATAATTACATACCTGCGGGTAGTAACGGTTGACGAATATGCAACCAGTGCTCTTCAACGGTGTTTAGTTGGCGCTTACTCAGCCCGGATGCCAGTGTACTTTCATAGGCATTCAGACACCTTGCTTCGCTAGTTCGTTGGTGTCTATGCGGTCATAGCAACGTTGCGGACGTCCGCCGAAGCGGGGCCGAAAATGTGGCACACGCAAGTGTGTCATCTGAGTCCACGATCGTGCTCTAAATCGAACAACGATTCCGGACACAGCCTCTCCTGCGGTAACTGATCGTAAAGTGGTCGATTAGCGTCCACGGGTGGTCCGAGGTTGGTGGGCGTCAAGTCATTCTTCTGCGGGTTCTGTGTCCTAGTTTACAGATCGCGGGAAACAGACGGGCATCACCGCTCATTGTGATCATTACGGAAGACTACCCCATGTTGGCTGCCCAGATGGAACAATGGATTGATACTGGTAAAAAGCTAATGCGTAACAGGTCCCGTAGGATGGTTATGGTGAAACCTTAAAATATAAGAAATTGTTAGCAAACTAGGGTTCACACAGTGAACTCCCTGAAGTATACGTAGTATCAGTTGTAAACACAACTTAAATCCATAAGGAGCAACGGCAAATGGGATGTTGGTAACAATCGTGTTTCCTCCTGCTTTACACATACAGGTGGTGAATAAATGGAACGAAATCTGGGATTTGACGGCCGTAGAAATCGCTTACAGACACGCGTAGCAGTCTGGAGATTCCCCGGTTTGCCTGTGTAAAATTCTAACTAAAACTATTTCATTCTACACCTAGGCAACCGGTGTGGTTTGTTGAACTGATTGCTGAGTTCGAATGCTTGACTTGCTCATCGCCATTTTTTGCTTGGCGCTCGCTTCGGTTGCAACGCGCAACTGCCCTTTGTGCTGTGCATGCTCCATTCCCCTAGCTAGAGCGTCCAGGGTGTCGTTCATTTATAGCTAGATAACAGGGAATCTTTTACTGTACCAATAAAAGTTTCCCTGCAACTCGATCCGTCTTCTCGAATCGCTCTCTGGGCTCCCGGTACAGGCGACCCTCTAAACACGTGTTTATCCATGGGTAATGGCTCAGGTAAGATGGTGCAGCGAAATAAGTGCATGGT